GCGGCCGCTACCCGCTGCAGGACGCCGCGGGCCGCCCGGTCGGGGAGCTGGTCCTGGGCTACCGCCTCACCAGCCTGGAGGCCGGCGAGGAGCTGCCCCCGCCGAGCCCCGCCAGCCCCAGCGCTGCCGTGCCCCCCGCCACCTCCCCTGAGCCGGGGAGCGAGGAGGAGGAGGAGGAGGGTGAGGAGCTGGACGGCAACATCTTTTGCCCTCCCATGCTCTATTACAGCCGCGAGCCTGCTGAGCCTCATCTGCCGCCAGCAGCAGCGGCCACAGGGCAGCGGGAGCGTGTCGAGGCCTGGAGGCCGCAGGAGGAAGACAAGGGCCAGAGCCCCCCACGTCCCGGTGCCGGGCCCTCCTTGCTGCACCCCACCGGCCCTCGACAGCTCCACAACACCCTGGGGCAGCTGCCGCTGCTCAGTGCCCTGCTGGCAGAGCTGTCGGTGCTCGTCCACAGTACTACGCCTGCCGCTGTCCACCCCCATCTTGCCTGGCTCTACCAGGCCCCAGGGAGCGGTGGCGTGGCCTCACGGCCCCCCAGCCCCAGCCGCTCCTCTGCCCTCAAGCTTGCAAAGGCACCTGTGGGTCCTGGAGGGAGCAGCGGAGCTGCCAGCCCTCAATTCAAGCAAGGCCAGCAAGAGGCCACCTCACCAGGGTCTTCCCGGGCTGGGAGAGGACCTAAGCAAGCTATACCCCAGAGAGAGACAGGCTCTGAAAGGAACTGCAAAACTAAGGAAAACAGACCTCCCAGAAAGAAGTTGTTGTACGGGCTGACAAATACACTGAGGCTGCGGCTGCAGCAGACCAACCCTGATAAGCTGATAATTCACGAAAGGAGAGAGCAGTACAGAAAAAAGCAAATGGAGATGCTGAAGGAGAGAAGCTCTTTATCCAAAAGAAAGCTGTGCAGAAATGCTGGAGAACAGCATGTGGTTTCTTACAGGCACTGTAGCAAGAGAGACAGTTCAAGGCAGAACAATCAGTTTAACAAAACTGTTGAGACTTCATTACAGAACAGTGCTCTCGCAGAGTACGCTTCCATGACAGAGAATGTGTCCCCTGACCTGCAGAAACAGGCTGTTGCAAGTCCATTGAAGAACGATGACATTGCAAGCAAGCAACGTCCACGCAAAGTAACCACAGCCCCCTTCCTGCAGGAAACTATATTAAAATCTGCTCACAAGGAAAAGTATGTGAAAGCCCAGCTCCCAGCAGCTTTCCCATCAGATGCTAATGCAAATGGAAGTAATGAGGAAGCAATACACTTAAGCCATCGTAAACCCACGATGGAGCATGATGATGCGTCTGTTGGAAGTGATCGTAAACCAAGCCCCAGCAGGAGTGTTGAAAACAACTCTGAATTCATATACTCGGATGACTTCATTGCTAGTCCTGAGAACACAGTTTATTCAGAAGATTTCACCAGTGCTGAGTGTACAGGCAGAGGCTCAGCAGCTCTTGACAGCAGTCCTGAATCTCTGTGGCTTGAAAGCCCAAAGCGAGCTTGGTCAGATACAGAGCCGGAATCCAGCAGGTCCAGAATTTCAAAGACAAGTCAAAGAGCTGTAAGTACTTCAGATCTTCTGCCAGTTCCTTCAGCTTCATCTCCAGTCCAGTCTTTGAAGAGAAACCGTGACTTAAAAACCAGCAAGAGAACTAGTGGTGAATCTGTTGATACACTTAACCTTGCTCAAATGGAGGCATCATTACTGGATGCAGAGCAGGAAGCCCAACAGATGAGTAAGGAAGAGAACAGGGGTGATCACCATATTAAACAAGTATCTACACTGAGAAGCAAACAAGTTAGCTCTGATACTGATCTGAGTATAGGAAAGGAACAGACCACTGCAGGAAAAAGCCAGTCAGTAACTCAAGTTAGCTCTTACTTGCCATCTAACATGTCTGATCTTGAACTTAGTGTGCTGGAAAACAGTTTGTCAGACAAAGAGGATGATTTTCTGGAAAAACTATGTGTTCCTAATCAATACAGAGACATCAGTGAACTTGTAATAAACAAGCTTCCGGGATACACCATGTAATTATGAGTTGTCACTGTCTAGATTAGGATATGGTATTTAAACTTTATAAGGCCTGTTACATTTAGCTGCAATATATGCAAGTTAATTTAAGACTTCATCATGCACATTTAATACATTGGTGAAATTTACTGAAGAGGTTTTTAAAATAAACTAGTTTGAATCTCTAATAAATGGTTCTTATGTGGTACCTACGGCATGACTTTAGTGTCAGTATCTTAATACAAAAGTAATCCCAACAGCACAAGAAACATAACTTACTGTCAAAAGCAGAAATGAAGACTGAAGCAGCAAGTGCAGTCAGTACCAACAAAACTTGTCCAGGATAGAAGTAATAACATACTACAAAAACAGCCAAATACAGATATGTTCCTAACTGAACATTCAGTATTTGTTGTTCATTGAAACAGTTCCATGCTTTTCATTACAAATAGTTACTTAAAACATACAGTCACAGCCAGTAACAGCACAGACGTTTATCAGCTAATCAATATAATGATGTATTTGTTTCACTGTTCTATCACTAAATACAGTGACTAGAACTAGATGAGCCCTTTTAGAGTTTCTTAGGTTGAAGTTTCTCATTTAAGTCAGATTTTCACAATTTATTATAAAATAGTTTAAGAATTATTGGTGACAGTAAATCTATATAATCTAGGAGAGCTTTGAGAGGTTGAATGAAGTTACTTGACCTTGAAGACTAAGGGTGTGGAAAGAGTAGGGAAGAGTGCAGTAAATTTTCAACGCTTCACAACTCCCTGATTGCATTCTCTGACATGGGGGAAGGGCGGGGGTTCAGCACCCACAGTCCAGAAACTTGGAACAAATGAGCATATTACATCATGATTTAAGGATTCGAGATAATGAAGAATTTGCCGGGTCCTCTTTTCTGTTCCATTGGTTGAACTACTACCTGCCACATCCCCTTTTCTGTTACAATGGTTAACTACTATCTGATGTTTGCTTTTGATTTCTGGTTTGGTTTTTATGACTTCCAGTTTGATCACTGATCTTAATGTCTTTTCTTTTAACTACTGGTTTTTGAGAGTCCATATCCCTGTTATAAATTTCAGAGATGTTGTTTGACTTGAATCTGAAGAAGCTCAAAATTCCTGCCTTAGTTTTTAGGTCTGTCTTGTCCCCCCCTTTCCACTCTCTTTGAGTAGTTCGTCTCCTTTGCCAGCTTTACATTCCTAACTATCTCATCATTTAGGACATTTATCCTCAGGGTTAAATGACAGACTTACCAAGTCCCCCCCTTATAATTTACAGTCTGAATTCTTTCCCCAGCTTTTTCATTTTTCACTGTAGTTCTCTGTGTACTTACTGCAAGAGCCTGTGTTTACACTTTTGACATCTTGGAGGGATTTTTTTATTTCCATCCTACTATGTGTTGATTTTGTAGGAATGACAGTACCTCTCCTATTTAAAGTACTAACATCTGTGAGGATTATTCAAGTACCTGGTGTTGACTTCTGGGACCACTACTACTACTATTTTTAATCTACAGGTAAGCGGCTGAAATTACCCATATATCAAAGGAATCTCTGGCCAGATCAATTATTAAATGTTATTTAGGGTGCCTCTGTTTCATCAGCTCCCATTCCAGACCAAAATATATTTTTTTCTTTTTTCTTCTAATGGCATGCACTTCTTTGATACACATGGATTCAGACTGTCATTTGTACTTGGCAGTAGTTCTGAATTTATTGATGGAATAAGATCTTGCAGTTCTTATGGGTAAAACAGTGATTAAAATACAATGCTGCCCAACCATTTTTACTGTGTGGCAATTTAAATTAATTGCTAAAACTAAGAGTCCACAATTTGAAGATCATTACTTAAGAAAAGTCTATTTTAAAAATAAAGTTTATTTTCAACCCCAAATGGGTTGAAACTCAAGGGCAAATTCCCAGTTCTTTTTCTATCCCCTATCCTATCTTCACTTTTCAATTTCCAGAAGCAAATATGGTAGGAACAATATTTCTTTTGTTTAAATAATGAAACTAATCTCTTTTCAGCTGATTTTATTTGAGATAACATTTCTAATGTTTATTGTGTATTGGCATTTATAATTTTACCAGGAGAATGATGAAAATGACAGAAAAATGCATACTAGGAAGACAATAGGAGACATTACCCAAGAACAGAAAGCCAGTATCATGCTTACATGTTTTAGTTTGGTTTTGTCTTTTCAAATATAGACTCAAGGTAGTTATTACTGCATGGAGAAATTAACAGATAGTTTCCACCCTCTGGGATAATAATCTTTTCAGATATTATCTATGTTGTTGTGAAAGTAAATGAAATTTTACTTAATATTCAAACAGCAATTCTCAGTCAACAAAAATGGGAAAGAAATTAATGTCACTAATTTATCACTGAAAACTTATAAACCAATATATTGGCAAGAAGTACCTGCTAATGACAAAAAGATTCTATATGTCAACCCAACAGAGCAAACCAAGTTATTTACTATTGTTATAAAATAAGAAAAAAAATGGCAGCAACAAATTCCCTTTTGTACAAATCCTATAATAATCTACACTCAACTATATTATACTAGCTAGCCAATTTTGTCATTATAACTTGCATCCTGTACCCCTGTGATCAAGTTGTTAACGTCAGAGGTTTAATAAGAGATTTCTCTACTTTAATGGAAGTATTACACCAATTTTTCATAAAGACATCATTTCTAAATTGTAAGGGCTAAATTGCATGGATTATGTTTGTGCAGGGTACATGGCAATATGCTGGGAGAAGCAAATAATAGTAGCATATCCCCCCCAGTTCTTGCACAGCCTTCCCAAAAGTAGCATAGTTACTTAAGAATACGTGCCTGTTTTTCAGATACCCCATAAGCATCCCAAGAAGCAGAATCATAGTGGTAGAGCTGGCATGTCCAAGTGAAGTAGCAGAAGTGTTAATACTTTCTCTGGTAGCTCTGTACTACTTTTCTGATTCAGTCCTAAGAAAGCCAATGCATTGGAAAACTGCTTTCCTAGAAACATCTCAACTAAAACTGTTCCCTAAGGACTGCTTCACAGACTAGAAAAAGAGAAGATAGATGAAGAGTCAAATCTTGTCCCACCACACACAAACCCCCTGATTTGAAAACTTGGCTTTTTGAGCAAGAATAGCTAATTTTTCCACATGCATTCAGTCCAAGCTTCTTTGTCTTCTTCTTTCCAGAGTTCCTGGAAAGATTATTAATTAGTACTCATTACAGTGTGGGCCCTTATCCACTGGGAGACTGATGTAAAACCAAAATGGTTTCTAAGAGCCATCTGCCTGTAAGAGCTTTCAGTTGCTACTGACAGTTGAGCAATCCCCATAAACACACAGTCTCTTAGAGATTTGTTACGTGCTTGACAGAGCCAATGGCTAGTCACAATGCAAAGTGTCACAAACCCAAAATATTTACTAAAAGCTCCATATTTCCTAATTTCTCATAGCCCTCGGAGATTTCACATATAATTCTATTTTGACTGAATTTGCTGTAGTTTTCATTTTGGTCTCATTGACTCATTAACTCTAAAAATTTCCTTGCTGCACACTATTAAGCAGTAAACTATAGTTACTTCAAATTCAAGTTTTATATTGCTGTTAGTTACACTTTAAACTTTACTACACTAAAATTAAAATGTGAGAATTAATTACCAAAGTTTATTATAGATCCTCACTAAACAAAGCCATCTAGGTTCTTACTTTTGACTTATTACTTTAGCAACTGATCTTTGCTTTAAATCTGTATGATATTCTAGAAATAAGGTAGATTTGCGTTCAAACCCATAGTTCTATTGCTGAAGATAAGGGTGGTTAAATCAGCTCACATAAAATTGAACTTAATATTTCACCACCAGTCCTAAACTGAGAAATAAACTTAGGTATACACGTTAATTCTTTTCAGAATTTATGACCCTAAGACAAGTTTGCTATGGCTGTCTTTTAAAAAGTTATTCCAGCATACTATTTATTAAAATAAATTTAGATAGCCAGTACTATGTAACTGATGGTGTGATGGGAAGAGCAGGATACCAAACACTGACAGTTTGGGTGACTTTACCTCTTCTACTGTAACGTTTTCTTGCTGTTAAGTAGTTCTGAGTCTTACTACTCGGTCAGTGGCTAGGAACATTTTTAAGAAGGCCCAGCCAGGCATGTTTCCTCCACTTAATATTTTTTATTCCTCAGCTCTTAGCACTCTGATTAGATGACACAGTTTCTTTTCTCTGATTTCTCTAATGATAGTTCCTACCACCTATTTTACAATTTGGAAGTCCTTTTCCTCGGTTTTCTGAAATTACATCCAGCCTTGTGAACTGCATGATTTAATTTTTTGACTGAGTTACTCATTCGTATTACTTTCATTTTTCTAGGTCCCATTATTTTATGATGCCTGCTACTGTAATTGTTTTGTTTCTCTTTGTGCAAGTGCTGCTCAGAGTTAAATGCTAGTCATTATTTGGAAATCTTTGGGACTTGGCTTTCCTTTTCTCAGCATTTCTTGCCAGCATCTACTTTACTGCTTGCTCAGCTTTCATGGTCTAGAAAGAAGTCAAATCATTGAATCTTACATTCACAGCCTTAAAAGGTTTTGTCGACTTCTACATGCAGGATCTTCACCAGCTCCCGTGAAATGTAACACCACTCATTCTGAGCTGCTGAATGACCATCCAGGACTGTGAGCATTTGCCCGTGGTTATCAGACATCAGGTTTCCCTACCTCTCCCATACCCTGTCTTTAATCCTTCTCTAAAGTTTTGATTTCCAAACTAACCTTTCTTTTAAAATGATTGAGACCATCTCTGTGAGAACAGATCCTGGCTTTAATTTAACATGCGTGTAGAGCTAATGGCAATCATATCTGCTACAGCTAATGTTTGCTACCAGCTAGCTGCTTGCATTTTCCATCTGCCCTTTTAGTCAATATATTGTTTGATTTCCATTTCAGTTTTGTTCGCATTCAGAGTCTTCCCTCATTTTAAATTCCTTGTATGTAC